CAAATAACTTGCTTTTGCGCATCATTGTCACTCAGGCTAAATTACTTTTAGATGTTTTTAATGACTGGGTAACATTTTTCAGCTGCTCATTCTGCGGCACCCTGCTGGGGGAGAGTCCATCTGTAAAGACCAAGGACTCTGATATGGTGGTAGTTCTTCCTGACATGCGTTTGGCTTTATTATTTGACATGTGATTCCTTGCGGTAGAGATGTTTTCAGCTAAATTTACAGCTAAAAGCTCTTTTCTTTGCATAAGGGGATCTGTTTCCAAATGGAGCTGGGAGACTGGCTATGCGTGGAGCAGCGGGAGGTCAGGGATGTAGAGGAGAAACTCTGGGAGATTGAAGGTGATGGTCCAAATCCTATCTGCGCTAAGGTTGACATTACCATAGGGCTGGAGGGATTTTATCCCGTCATTTGTTACCCCTACCTTTCATTTCACTTGCAATGCACGGCACGGAGAGCTGTGACTTGCAAAATGATCCCAACGGGGACACCGCTTGCGACACCAGCCGTGCCGGTCTCCCAAATCCCTCTTTCCGAGGCAGGCACAGCTTTCGCATTCGTTCCCGAAAGGCAGCTTTTAAGCCACTCGCCTTCGCCATCTCCGGGTTTTGCAGCGCTTCTAGGAGATGTATTTTTAAATCCGAGCTCATAAATTTTGGAAGCTCCTCTCCTTCCCCCACCCCCTCGCCCCTATCAAAGTGTCAGAGCCGAAGAAAAACCACGAGAGTGATGGATGCGCCCGGCTCTGCTTGCCAGCGCTCTGCCTGTGCGTGGGGGGTTATTTACTGTGCTGCTGGGGCTGCTGCTTCTTCTTCGGTGGTGGCGGCGATGGCAGCGTTGGGGTTGGGTGCCTGGGAGGGAGCTGCCCAGGGGTCGGCCCAGCCTCGGGCTGGGGAGAGGTCGCTTGGGCACAGGGGCTCAGACGGCCAAAAGGTGAAGCCATGGGGACGTGGATCCTGGCTGGTGGCTCGGCCCAGAGGATGGGTGCTGGGGGCTGTTACATCCTCCTGGTTTTAGCTTGGGGGAGGTGCAGGTTATCTCACCCCACAGAGCTGCTCTTAAAAGCCACCGGTGTCACCCCAGCCCCCATGTATCCCCGGGGCTGTGTGTTGCTGCCGTTGGCAGTGTGTGCCAGGGACCAGACCTGCCATGCTGGGGAAAACCCATGGGGCTGC